TTTTCAAAATCTTAGCTATTGTAAATTGTGCTTCTATGAACATAAGGGTGCATATATCCTTTCTGATTGGTGTTTCTGGTTTCTTGGGATATATTCCTAGAAGTGGGATCACTGGGTCAAATGGAAGTTCCTTTTTGAGGAAACGACATACTGTCTTCCACAGTAGCTGCAGCAGTCTGCATTCCCACCAGCAGGGCATGAGGGTTCCTTTTTCTCCAAATGCTCACCAGCACTTGTTGATTTGTTGATGATAGCCATTCTGACAGGTGTGAGATGGTATCTAATTGTTGTTTTGATTTGCATCTCTCGGATGATTAGTGACTTTGAACATGTTTTCATATGTCTCTTGGCTTTCTGAATGTCCTCTTTCGAAAAGTATCTATTTAGGTCCTTTGCCCATTTTTTGATTGGATTGTTTATCTTCCTTTTGTTACGTTGTATGAATTCTCTGTAAATTTTGGAGATTAAACCCTTATCTGAAATAGCATTGGCAAATATGTTCTCCCATGCAGTAGGCTTTCTTGTTGTTTTGTTGATGGTTTCTTTTGCTGTGCAGAAACTTTTTATTTTGATGTAATCCCATTTGTTTATTTTCTCCTTAGTCTCCATTGCCCTAGGGGCTGTGTCTGTAAAGATATTGCTAGAACATATGTCTGCAATTTTGCTGCCTATGGAATCTTGTAGGATTTTTATGGTTTCCCATCTTACATTTAAGTCCTTTAGCCATTTTGAGTTTGTTTTTGTGTATGGTGTAAGCTGATGATCTAGTTTCATTTTGTGCATGTATCTGACCAAATTTCCTAGCACCATTTATTGAAGAGACTGTCTTGACTCCATTGTATGCTCTTGCCTCCTTTGAAAAATATTAATTGAGCATAATGTCTTGGGTTGATTTATAGGTTCCCTTTCTGTTCCATTGGTCTATATGTCTGTTCTTGTGCCAGTACCAGGCAGTTTTGAGAACCGTGGCTTGGTAATGTAGCTTGATATCTGGTATTGTGATCCCTCCAACTTTGTTCTTCTTTCTCAGGATTGCTGTGGCTATTCCGGGTCTTTTTTTATTCCAGGTGACTTTTTGGAGAGTTTGTTCTAGATCTTTGAAATATGCCATTGGTATTTTAATGGTGAGTGCATTGAATCTGTAGATTGCTTTAGGTAGTATGAACATTTTAATGATGTTGATTTTATCAGTCCATGAACGCGGTATGTTCTTCCATTTGTTTATGTCTTCCTCTATCTCTTTTTTCAATGTTCTGTAGTTTTCCGAGTACAGGTCTTTTACCTCCTTAGTTAAGTTTATTCCTAGGTATCTCAATTTTTTTGGTGCAATGGTAAATCGGATTGTTTTCTTCATTTCTCTTTCCATGAGTTCATTATTGGTGTATAAAAAGGCCATAGATTTCTGGGTGTTAATTTTTTATCCTGCTACATTGCCGAATTCATTTACTAGGTTTAGTAGTTTTTTGATGGAGTTTTTGGGGTTTTGTATGTATCGCATCATGTCATCTGTGAATAAGGACAGTTTTACTTATTCTTTTCCAATTTCGATGCCTTTTATTTCTTCTTCTTGTCTGATCACTATGGCTAGCACTTTCAGTACTATATCGAACAGGAGTGGTGAAGGTGGGTCTTGTTCCCGTTCTCAGGGGAAATGAGTTTAGTTTTTGCCCATTGAGTATGATGTTGGCTGTAGGTTTGTCATATAAGGCTTTTATAATATTGAGGCATGATCCGTCTACTCCCACTTTGCTGAGACTTTTTATCAAGAAAGGATGTTGGATTTTGTCAAATGCTTTTTCTGCATCGATTGATATGATTATGCGATATTTGTCTCTCAACTTGTTTATGTGATGTATCACATTTATTGATTTGCAGATATTGTACCAAACTTGCATCCCCAGAATAAATCCCATGTGGTCATGGTGTATGATCTTTCTAATGTAATGCTGAATCTGATTTGCTAGGATTTTGTTGAGGATTTTAGCATGTATGTTCATCAAGGATATTGGCCTGTAGTTCTCTTTTTTTGTGGTGTCTTTATCTGGTTTTGGAATTAGGGTAATGCTGGCTTCATTGAAAGAGCTTGGAAGTGTTGCTTCCTCTTGAATTTTTTGGAATAGTCTGAGGAGGATAGGTTTTAGTTCTCCTTTGAATGCTTGGTAGAACTCCCTTGTAAAGCCATTCAGACCAGGTCTTTTTTTTGCTGGAAGATTTTTGATCACTGCTTCAATTTCTTCAGTAGTTATAGGCCTATTCAGGTTTTTTGATTCTTACTGATTGAGTTTTGGGAGCTTGTATTTTTCTAAGAATATGTCCATTTCATCTAGGTTGTCCATTTTGTTGGAATAGAGTTGTTCATAGTATTTTTTCATAATCCTTTGTATTTCTGTGGGATCACTTGTTACTTCACCTCTTTCATTTCTGAATGAAATTCAGAAATTTTTGGAGAAAATTATTTAATTTGTAGTTTGAGTGATCATATAGACTTGGTAGGTTTTGACTTTAGTAAAGCACTTGACAAATTTCCCCTGACTTTATTGTATTTTCATAAGGCTATTATGAGTAAATGGAGATTCAGTTCTACATAGTTGAAGGAAACTTTTTTCTTTTTTTTATTAAGTTTTTGAGGGTGACATTGGTTAATAAGATCATATAGGTTTCAAGTGTACATTTCTGTACAATATATGATACATGATCTATATATTACATTGTGTGTCCACTATCCAAAGTCAAATCATCTTCTGTCACCATATGTTTGATCCCCTTTACCTTTTACTATTCCTTCAGCCTCCTTTCCTCTAGTAACCACCATAATCTTGTCTATGTCTATGAGTTTCAGTTTTATATCCTACATATGAGTGAAATCATATGGTTCCTAGCTTTTTCTGACTATTTCACTTAGCATAATATTCTCAAGGTTCATCCATATTGTGTCAAATGGTTAGGCATTAAATACTAGTAAAAATAGTGTCAACAATCAGAAAGCAAAAACTTTAAGGATACAGGGAAATAAAATACTATAACAGCAGTAGACTTTAACTCAGCTGTCTCAACCTCTGACTGGAGGAGACAAATGTAAGAATATATATTATGTAAAAAACATAATTAACAAGATAGCCCCAGTAGGTATATATCCAACTTAAACCTGAGTTTGCAACTTACTTTCCACTGACCATGAAGCATTTATAAAACTGATCATATATTAGGCCACCAAGAAAACCTCAATACATCTCAAGGAGTAGAAATGTATAATTCATTTTTAACAATATCAGGAAAAGTTGTTACTAGATTAATATGATGCAGCTTCTTGCACATTACTTGTACTTGTGAGTAAGTAATGTAAATAAATGATTGTTTATATATTAAAACATTTATGGGATACATAGAAAAAGAAACTATGTCAATTACATAAATTTTTAAAGATAAATCCAAAAACTCAAAGAAACTGTGTTCAACGGGATGACTTTGAGCTGTCTTCAGTCTCATAATTCTTTTTTCCTCTCTGCTCATAGGAAAATTAGACCACAAACCTTGAGAAAAATTGTGAGGGTATTTCTTTTTAGAGTTTAGTGAAATGTAGTTAGTGAATCCTTGCTAAGATGAAGTTAATAGGCTTAAAATGTATCCCCCTACCCCACTCTTTGTACAGAAAACTTATGAATACTGGCCAAAGGAGTTTCTCTTATGATGTCATTTAAAGCCCTAGTCCTAGTCATTAAAGGAAGCTTTTTGAAAACAGGTATGTCCTGCTTTTGAAACTTGAAAATTGAACTGGAACACGTGGTGTTCCCCTAGGCAGGATGCAAAGGTGGCTTCCCGGGTTCTTGTCCAGCTGGGTTGGAAGAATAAAACCATGGACAAAAAGTGGTATAGGAAAAGGTAGAAATTTATTGAGAAACAAGCACAGACTCCCACGTGGGGAGGGAAAGAGAGTCCCACTAAGTCCCTTTTTTCTAAGGTTTATAAAGGCTGCAGTTCTTTGTGTCTTGATATCCCCTCTTATTGGTCACTATAGCAGCTTCAGAGTTCAAACCTCATGTGAGGTTCCCTTCTTCTTCTACCTTTTTTTTTCTATTCCCTTTGGCCTTCCTCTTCCCTCTCTGAATGAGTGGATTTCTTTCCTTTATTCTTTAAATATATGGCAGCTCCCTTAGTCTATGGATGTGTGCCCTCTGGCATCTCCCTGATTCTGTGAATATATACCTTTGGGCAGCTCCCAGCTTTGCAGCCCTGTGGTTCTCCCCAAAGACCCCGTAATTCCTAAAATTTCCTAAACCTGCCTATTTTACTCCTAAAAAAATTCCTTTTACTTTCAGCTATAGTTTGAGGTTCTCTGGTTAAAAGCTTTGTCTTATTTCCTCTTGTATCCCCAGTACTTGGCTGAAGGCTTGACACACAATAGGTGCTCTGTAAATGCTAATTGGATTCATAATGTAAGCTTCTTCTTACCTGATAGCAGTAAAATGGATTTAGGGATATTGAACTTCCCCTTTTCTATCCTTGCTCAGCACAATCCCTCAGGGCGATGGTGGGAAGGAAAGTTTACACTTAAAGGATAAATCAGTGTAGTATTCCTATCTGCTCCCTATTGGCCTGAGTGTTATAGCTAGGTTGGTCTCTCCTACTGTTGTTCAGAGCATTGAGTCAAGGGTGAGTGAGAGGGTGCCTGTGGCTCTAGCTTGCATCAGTGTTCAAGAATAGGAGGATGAGTTTAACATCTCTTGTTTCCTTTGCCTCCTTTGTCTCTTCCAGGTGTGGTGAAGTCCACCTGGGAAACAAGGAAAGACTAGAGATTTGATTTAAGAAAAGAATTGTTGGAAAGTATCCTGATGACACTTATCTATTGCCAAATATTCTCTATAGCAGCACAGAGCAGGAGGAAAGTGGTCAATGGGCTTGAAGGATCAGGGGAGGGAAAGAGTTGCAGAAGAGTGAAGCCCCTCAGAAAAATGTGTAGGTGAAAATCATCTAGCTACATAAAATAACACATTCATAAGAAATGAATTTGAGAATTATTTTATTAAGAAATGTATCATGTCAATAACAAAACAATATGTACATTTAAAAAAGTGCTTACTGTTCATTTTGACCGATGTCACCCCAATAAATTTAATAAAAAAATAAAAAGTGCTTATACAATAAATTAAAAATGTATTCCATAAGTTTAAAAATATATATTATTTTAGCTTTAATAAATGTACTTCTTCAAGATCTGCTTGCATATACCACTCTTATCTGTTACATAATTTTTAAAACTTAACTTAAACTATTTTCACAATATTAATATGAAATTCTTTCAAATTTCTCCACTATATGTACAGCTTTTTGTGTGTACCGTTTTGCGTCTATGTATTTCCTTCTTTTGTACATTTTTAGTATGAAAGAAATGCCTGCCTTTTCAACAGAGGTTCATTTGCTCTTGAGTTCAACTTTTTTTCTTTTTGAAGCGAAAAAGTTCTCCTTCTCCTATACTTTTAGATTCTTCTCTTGAGTAAGGCCTATGTAGCTCCAGCTGAGAATTACTATCACAAAGCCAGTGGCTCAGACATCAATGCTACTGAAGTCTCCCTGACATTTGAGGGGTAGTATCTTCCCCACATTATAAACCAATATTAAACAATAAAAGCTTACAAAAATAAGTTAAGAAACCCGTCTGTAATTAAAAAAATAATTAGTAGTGATCTTTTAAATGTCACAGAATTAACATTCCCTCTACCTAATACGGATGATTTTTTTGTTGCTGTGAAATATGACTTCAATGAAGGTTCACTTTGTTTCTATTAAAGACGCATGAAACGACGCCACAATCCTATTAAGTTTGAGACTATTTTCTGGCATCTTTTTATTGTGTCTTCTCTTTTCTTTCTTTTCTTCATTGCCTGGGCATTATTTTTCTGTGGAATAAGAGAATCAGTAATTAAAATTAATTGTCACTATCTTTAATGGCAGGTTACATTGTCTTCTCTATGCAAACCTATTTCTCAATGTATTCTCCTAACACCTGCTTACTGTCTGGGCCTGTGTGCTTTCTACAGAGGAATGCCCTCCCATTTTTCCACCCACTTACTCATGCGTCAAGGCCAAGCACCACCTCCTTTACAAGGATTGCTCAGACCTTTCTGTTAGAAAATATTCTAGTGTTTCACAGTGTGTTTAATATAACTTGGCTCTCACTTAAATGTTTTTTTAAATTCATTATTGCATCATGGGTATTCCCCACACTGCTGAGCAGAATGTTTTATACATAGGACACATTGAATAAGTAAATAAGTGAATAAGTCGATGACTTCATGATCTCCTTGACAAGATCGTAAGTTCCTCTAAAATAGGACATATCTACATCTTCTTTACAGATATAATTCAAAATTCTCCTGCCTTCAGTCCCTTCTACCACTGAGTTGTGCCACAGACACCTGAAGGTTTTTCTGAAGAGAGCCTAAACTTAAAAAATATTGCAATGATATTTTAATGTTTTCCTCTATCTATATTACTCTTGAGTAGTGACCTTGACTGGACCTCCTAGATACACAATATTTGGGTCAAGAAAGTTTACCAGGTTATAAGCAAAAATCTTACAATCTAAAATTTGCTAAATCATAAATTTTTAAAAAGTACTCCAGACTCTCCCTTTCTTACTATCCAGAACTTGACCTAGCCTGTTCTCTATGCTCTCCTTATATGGATAAACTTCACTGTGGCCGTCAGTAGATTTACTAGAGTCTCCTTGATAGAAGGCATAGAACCAAACCAGTTTTTCACATGTAGCCAGACTCACCTTATGGCTTCAATCTCCAATCCCTAAAAAAGTGACAGCCTTGGCCACACAGACTACTCAGTGTGCAGACTGATAAAGTCCATTGGTTAATAGACAGTGATCATACATCTCTGCACTTGTTTCTCCTTGTCTTTTTAAAATTTGTCATCCAGAAGATAAACCCTCTGCTTCACTTCCATGCTGAAATAAATACTTCCTGAGTACTAGTTGCATGCCAGGCACTATTCCAAGTGCTTTTACTAATATTGACTCATTTAATCCTTACAAACACTCTATGTGGGTCTGTTAATATGATCCTCATTCTGCAGAAGAAATTGAGCACACAGAGGCTAAGTAATTTATCCAAGTTTTCACTGTTAAAAGTTATGGGGCTAGATTCAAAGTTAGGCAAGACTGTCTCCAGACTTCCCGCTCCTAACTCTGTACTACTGTTTCCATATTTAAAGTTACGCATTCATTCAAATGCATGTAACTGCACAGAGGCAGCAATACCACCCATATAAGCAATTAAGCAAACATAGGGTAAAGCTTTGATGTATGATTTATCATTTTAAGAAAGAACGCACAATTATTAAGTGATAAGCCTACGTAATGCTGCTCAAATTGTAGAACGGGCAAAAATTTCATAAGAAGCCCTTCCATACACAGGGACTGTGATTTTGAAGGTCTAGGTTGGGTCCCTGGGAATTGGCATTTTGGCCAATAACCTCCCATGCTCAGGCAGCCAGGTGACACTCTGATGTAGGAGGCTCACCACTCGCCTAAGGTTTAGAACCACAATTCTGTAAGAAGAATCAGAATCCTAGAAATAAGTGGGTTTCGGTCGAGGTACCAACCTAGGACTAATTGACAATCTACAGCTCTGGCTCATTTGCTCTCCAAAAGATAGAACCTGAATAAAAATCACAGACTTCTGCACTGCACGAATAGCGCCTCTTTAATTCAAGGTTAGCGCCAAGATTAAAAAACAAAACAAAACACACAACAAAAACCGAGAGTGCTTTACGTTGGCTTACCTGCTTTCGGTAGTAGCCTGGGCAAGAGCGTTCGAGCGTGGCTTCCGTTCTGCTGGCTAATTCTTCGGGGAGTGACTTGCAGCCGGGGGTAGGATGCAAGGTAAGGCGCTCGATTTTAGTGAGGCAATCCGGCTGCTCGCAAGCGGCGACGTTCACGAGAAAAGGAGAACACGCCACGGGGTGGGGGTAGGGGTATAAAAAAACAAAGAAATAGAGTTGGTAAGAAATGAGTGAAAGGAGGCGCGGGGGACGCAGCCAATGGGACCCGGGTGAGGAGAGGGCTAAAGACCCCACGGAAGGGGAGGAAGTGGGGGCTCGTGAGAGTAGCAGAAGGCGCGGCAGGAGAGAGGACCTGCGCTGCCGCTCGCCGCGTCCGAGGCGCGGGGCCCGGGGGACTGCCAGGAGGCGGCGCCGCAGGCGGAGGCACCCCATCCGCCCCCCCACCCCCCGCCCGGGAGGTGGTGGTGAGGGGTGTGCCCCTGACGTCGTGCCCTGATCCTAGTTTCCTATTTGCCTTCCCTTTCGTGGGGGTGGGGGACCGGGAGCCTCTTCCGGAATCCCGCTCGGTTTCGAGAAAGACTTCCTCGCCCTAAATTGGAGCAGAAGTGGTGTCCCCAGCTGGGCACCAGCCCAGAAGTTCCGGCAGCCCAGTTCTCCTTGCGGGGTCGGTGTCGCCTGGGAACCCAACTACCGCCCGGGGTTCTACCTCCGGCTGGGCGCCCCTCCCCGGGATGCCTGGCGCCCCTCGGAGAGAGCCAGGAGCGCTGTTCAGCTACTCACCTGATCTTCACAGCGGAGGGTGGCGTCGCAGTCGGTACACTGGAAGAAAGGAAAAAAGCATCCGAGGAGAGGGTAAAGACGTGTTCACAGGAGAAACCCCCACACTCCCCACTGTTGCTCCCAGGGTTTAAAGATGCCCTGCAAGCAGTTTCCACTTCCGCACTTCTTTTCTATGCGTCGGTTCTTGCCATTGACAAAGTAGTGACACAAGTGGGAACCTTCAGATCTGAAGATTCTGCTCTCGGAAACAGTATCAATGGGTCCTGGTCCTGGAGGGAGACGCCTCCTCCCCACCAGTAGGCACACCTGTAACCCTGTATACAGGGCTGCACACGAGAGCAATATGCCACTTTCCAATGCCCACATCTGTCCTAGAGCGAGCCGTTCATGCATTTCACACATGCGTGATCTATCCAGAAATGAAAATAATTAAGAAAATGACTGCTACTGTGTTCTAAACAATCTGAAGCACACCTCACCCCACAATGGCATCCCAAGGCATCTAGAACGCTAGACAGACCTGAAGGGCAACCTCACTGGTTAGGTCTCAGCTCACAAGAATTCCCTCTTTTACTCCTCTCTTTTTCTCAAGCCTTCTCTTTCTCAAGCCTATTTTTTTACCTTTTTTTTTTCTTTCCTGCACCAGCGGAGCAGCACTTTAGCCCAGTATAGACACCCCTGATGGGTCATGCCTTACCTATCAATATCTGCTCCGCATCAGCATCTGCACACTTAATGTGTGCCACTTTCTAGGTTGTCATTTTAGAGGCAAATATATTTCAATATCACTTGCAAAAATTTCTGACATAATGCTGGGTCATGATCTTTTCCCAAAATTATTTTTCTTTTTTGAAAGTAAAACTGTGGTGTGTGTGTGTGTGTGTGTGTGTGTGTGTGTCTATGTGTGTACTCTTCTGATGAAAACACATTGTTTTTAAAAAGGTTTCTTCACTTACCGTCAGGTCCTTAGAAATGATGTTCAGGTAATCCATTCTAATCTTCTCAAAGTCACAATCAGTGAAATTGCTGGTTAGCACCAACCCTACCAGTTGCAAAATGAAGATCTTCCTGAAAAAAACTGACAGAACAAATAATAAGGCATCAGGCAATGTATTTGAAAACCCAGTTCCACCCCAGTTTCACATTAAACTCTTTCCACCCACACTGAATTGCCTCTAGATCTGCAAGGCCAGCCTTAGGGGCAAGGGCTCAGGCACCAACTACTCTTTGCCTCTTATTCCCAGTGTACAGAAGCCCATATTCACCCATGCTGTTGCCTTAGGTTGGAGTCTCCCTGATGCTCCAGAGCTTTTTGGCTCCACATATATAATACCTAAACGCCTACGGGCCCTTTTCTCCTAGGCCAATGATTTTCCTTGATGTCATTTGCTTCCTTCAGAGAATTCTAAATTGATGACATGAAAGAAAAAAATAGGACTAGCCAAATCTATGGAATTTTACCCTTAGTGAAATCAGCAGGAATTTCCCTCTCCTCCTTTGATCTTTGTCCTAAATCTTTGATATATGCCTGGATGTGCTTTAAGAAGGAGATACCCACACCTTTCTCCTACAGGGCCATTTCCAACAAGCCCCTTTCTTGATGGAAAAAATACCCCCAAACAGCATCCACTCTGAGGATTGGGTTCATGCCATACACACTGAGCATTTCCTTTGGCCAATTTCAACTACGGCTTTCCCTCCTCTGTGGCCACTGAGAAAACTCATGTGCTTACTTCACGGGATGCTTTAGAGTGTGGGTGCAACCTGAGGCTTGGACCGAGTTCCCATGTGACTGTATTAAATGTGCAATAGTGACCAGAATCTTAGAGGCAGGAACGAGAAAATGCTGAAACGAGTGGGGAAAAGTCTGATGGTCAAAGCACCCTTTTGGGGTCGGGGTGGGGGATGGCGGGGGAAGCGCCGCAGGGGCTAAGCTCTCCTCTAGTACTTCTACAGGCGTCAAGAACATTTAAAACCACTAACCCCAGCGTCCAGTCACCTTCACAGTCTCACCTCTCGGGCCAAACGTAAGAGCCAGGACGCTAGACTCAAGCAGTGGGACCAGATTGCGCGGAGCGGAGCGCAGCGCAGCGGCGGCGCGCGCCCTGGGAAGGTGCTGTCCAGCGCGCCGCGATCCCAGAGGCTGCACTGTTCAAGCGCCCTGCGCCCCACGCCGCAAGCCTAGACAACTTTGCTTGCCTCCGGTCCACGTTGGGACCTGAGCACCCGCACCTGTTTTAGGAAGAGGGGAAGGCACGAGATGGAGGTCACGTATTTGCACTGGCAAACGCTTGTTAACGCAGCCAAGCAGAATTTAAATTCAGGGAAGTGAGTCAGGGAGAGTGCCAGAGAGGATGCCGAGCCGCCTGTGGCTCTGGCAACGCCAGCAGAGTGTTAAAAGGACGAAAGTCCGCCTCCTAGCAGGCTGCTACAGGACTAATCACGCTCTCCTGGGCTTGACCTCCTGCCGACCGGGCTTTCCTGACTTCCAGTTCTCCTCCCTCCTCCCCCTTGCCCTCTTTCCGGAGCCTAAAGGGCCCTGGTCCTTGGGAAGTTCTTAGTAGTTATCACCGGAGCTCCCAGGGCAGGGTGACCCGCGTGAGTTCCTAGCAAATGTCACAGGTCACATGGCACCTGGGAACAAAAGGAGGGGTGGCAAGAGAAGAGAAAAAAAGCATAGTCTCCGTGTTGGGGGTTAGGACTCGAGCCAGAAGTGAACTTTTTTTTTCCATAGAAGGCGCTCAGCAGCTGTACCAATACAGCTGGACCCAGTTCTCTGGTTAAGAACTGAGGATAAAGGTTGTGGCGCTAGCAGCAGTAAGGGAAAGCCTATGATTCACCGCATGACTTCAAAGGTGGGCTTTTCTGGAATCCTCCAAGCCTAGGGTTTAATGTCATGCAGCATCCTTTGGTAAAGAAGCGCCCCCGCCCCCATCACCAATTTTTCAGGGCTTCTTGGGATAATGCCCCAACCGGATTCATCCGTTGTGACATTAGAGGTGTTCCTGGTGGACACCTGGACATTGGACAGGCAGACAGGAGATGAAGACACAGATCTCTTCCCTGGGTGAAGGTATGCTCGTGGGGCAGTAACAGAAGAAAGGCCACCCTGGCTGAGGTTCTATTTCCATTTTTCTAGGGTGTAACCGAGCTGCCTCCTTTTCTTTATTTCTTCCTTTAAAACATTATATCTATGGCAACTTTGAGATGAGGCAGACAGGTGCCTCCTCCTCAGGCATTCTAGAGGATGGCTCTTAGACTGTTAAACACACTGCTAAACATTTGTCCTTGGGACCCCCTATTTCTTTATCTGTAATTGTGTGGCCTCGTAAATCACTTCAATTACATCACCTTTCTGCTTAAAAACTCTTGGTAGACTCCCAGTTGCCTTGCCATTTACAATCATCTCTCCCCTCTTGGCTCCATGCCAAGCATGTCAAACTCACAGGCTGGCTGCATGGGGCCCACAATGAATATTTTTGTGGTCCAGCCAATATAACAGTATGTAAGAAACGTTTTAATAAAAACTTCATAGCTTAATTTTTACAATATCCTTTTATACAGAAATATTAATAACGAACTACAATGTTCGCTGACTGATTACTACAATCGTGTTGCATTCATTTCCCTTACCCACCTTACATGTAGGCACACCCTTTCTCTCCACTAATACTAGCAGCGAATATTTTAGCAGCCAATGGCCACGTCATTTGGTGTGCACAACAGGAAATATTTCCCTTTTGGAGAAGAGAAAAATAGGTTTATTTGCGTTACGCTTATTAATTTGTGTAGTTATTCAGTGTCTGATAAGTGAATGTTCAAGAAAAAATATTAATTTTTATTAAAATGTTCTATTATTTTATGTTAATGATTACTTATTTATTTCAGCCCTTCTTATTCAGCATGTCTCTATCAACATAAACCTACGTTTCTATGAAAATTGAGGCTTTTGTTTTTTTTGTGACCCACATAAGCTTAAACCTTGTTTATTTGGCCCGTGTTAGCCTTTGAGTTTGACATGCTTGCTCTATGCTGTCTCTCTAGCATTATCGCCAATCTTTTAGGCTTCTGCCAAATTGTACTTAAAGTAAACATGCTCTAAATGTGCCCTAATCTCTGTTCTTTCAGCCTTCCCACCCTCAGATTTTAACTTTCTCCTGTTAGTCCATGCTCGTTTCACTAGCCATCTATTCAAAAGTGGTCTCCTACCTGGCTGTGACCACATTTTCCTTTTAGATATATTTATCTTGGACTTCCCTCTTATGACCTCAATTCATTACATAATATTTCAAAGATATTTTCTACTTTATTTATTATTAGATTGTGAGTTTCCTTAGAAGCAAGCAATTTAGGAGTTTGTTCAATATCCATTTACTTTTTCCAAAGACATTTGAAGTGACTTGCAATAATTTCATTGGTGCAAGAAGGTAAAAAACAGTCAAGATGAGGCAACATAAAGGACAAAGAATAAAGAAGGTGAGGCTCGGTTACAAGGAATGCCATAGGAGAACATTATTAAGAACTAGAGAATTAAGGCAAGCTCAAAAGTGAGTTCTGATCTTCCAGTCATTGCAAAGAAGAACATAAGATGGGCTCTACAAGTTTATTAGGGAAACCATTTTTTTCTTAGGACTGTGGTCATCATCATAGCCACCATAGGTCCTAGTCTTATATGCTATATGTAATAATAGATACTTAAAAATACTCAATAAACTGAAGTATATTAACTTTCTTTTAAGACCATTGCCAGGTAGCAAATCATTTCCTAGTAAAAGAATCTCTCCTATTAAAAGAAGAAGACTTCTTTTTTTGGCTTTTTGCTGCCACCATTCTGTAATCTACTTATTCCTTGCCTGTGGCAACCATTCAGCTAAGGGCATCTCTGAAAATTCGTGATGGGCTAAAGAGCTTCCCATTTTCTCTCTCTTCATTTGTTCAAATGCTGAAGGTGTGAACAGTATCTACATGTGTAGTTTGGGAAATCCTAGATTAGGTCAAGAATTGAAGTGAGATCATTTGTATCACTGTGATTACTCAGAGCTTATGCAATTCTCTCACTCAGGAATGGACCAGAAAATGACCTACGACACCCTTTTCTCCTACCCTAACTAGAAAGATCTGTCATTCACTTATTTCCTTAATATTTTTTTTAAATTAATGGCTCCCTTTGTTTTTCATTCCCTTATTTTCTCCCTCCCTCTTTTTAAATTCACTTCCTTCCTCTTCTTTTAACTGTCATGAATATTTAAGTAGATTGAAGTTGACTGGGAGGGGGGAAAAGATTCTATATTTTAAAAATGTATTAAATCATAGAGTCTTTGGACTTAAAATGGAATGGGTACTAGGTCGGTTGAGAAAGAAAATGGGAAGCCTCTTGATGAAATGGAAGATATTTCCTTCTACGGAGTAAGAAACATGGATGATGCCAACCTTACCTTGGCAATATTTTAGAAAGTGTAACAATGGACTTTCCCTAGCAGATGGGTGGTTTTTTGGGGAGGATTGGAAGTAAAGAGATTGCTGATTATATAATCACTCTACCTCTTGGCTTTTGTATACTTATCCAAAAAGGAAGGGCTACACTTTGCAAGGGTGAACATTTTTTCTTTCTTGAAATTTTACCTACGTTTTTTGTAGTCAGGTACAGTGTTTATATAATGTGAAGTGCGTCAATGTGAGGTCAATGCAGCACATATTTATTTGACCCATTAATTTTGCATTGTACGTTTGAACTCAGCAGCCTTTCTGTTGGTCTGAACCATTGATTCATCAAATTCCATACATCCTCTAAGATTCTTTGGGGAGATTTGTAGACCAGAAAGTGAAGTGAGTTAACTATGACACATGTGAAAAACATACCTTTTATTTTGTTTCATTGTCAGGCCAGTGATACTTGCATAATCAGCCTATGGATCAGGGAGTGAAGGAGACTAAATATATGCATAAAAGCCTAGTGCTTGCAGTCATTCCTCTGTAAAGAAACAGTCTTAGCCTCAGCCAATTGTAGGTAAAAGATCTTGCTTGCTTTACTGTTTTTCTGCAATCTAATAGGAAACAAAAAGGGAGAAGATTATGCAAGAAAAAGGTAGGTATTGAGTTTTCTTAG